ACCGCTGTGTTATACAAGTGCAGCTTAATTAGTGAGCGTGTGTACTTACGGTTAGATTGGGATGGAAACTGAAAAAAAAAAAGAAGAAAAAGTGGGGAGAGAGGGGGGGAAGAGAAGGGGGAAAAGGAGGGCAGGAAGAGGGAGGGATGGACAGACAGACAGACACACAGACAGACAGATATACAGACAGATAGTCAGATATACAGATAGACAGGTAGACAGACAGACAGACAGATAGTCAGATATACAGACAGACAGACAGACAGACAGACAGAGAGAATCCCTAAATCGTAATCTTTAGCTCTGGCCTGAGCTTCCAAAGGCCTCCTTGCTGTGCTTGGGGCTTGTGCCGTTGCTGCCAAAAAACACGGAGTCACAGATGCCAAGCACAGTTCTGCGGCCATGCTGTGTCCTCTTGGCCCCATTCACTGCCCAGTGACAGCCGCTCACTGAAGAGGTTCAGGCCACCATGACTGGGCCCACCGTAGGGGCCTCAGAGTGATGGGATCATGATCAGTCTCCCAGTCTTTTGGATGCTCCCCCCCCCACCTCCCCTAGTTTTCTATAACGAGCTTGTATTCCTCTTGGGGGGGGGGTCGGGGGCAAGCTCAATAGCTAGTCATAACCCAGTCTAAGGACCAGGGGGCAGATGTGGCATAGAAACATCAATGGGAAGATAGTAAACCTAAACCCGCCCCCAGAAGTCAACACTCTGGGAGGCATCCGAATTCATTTGTATGCACCTGCCCTGCTAGACTTGCTCTTAAAATAAATAAATAAAAAAGCCGTCCCTGTCCTGTGTCTGTGTGAGCGGCAGACATCACCGAGGCTGCTCCGGGGCCTGTGTTTTGCCGTTGCCGTCTGTGCGGTCAGGTCCTCGGATTCATCCCTTTCCCTGGAGAGGGACACACGTGCTCACCAGGGGCAGCACAAACACTAAGGGCCCCTGACCTAGGAGGAGCGACTGATAGTCCACGGCGCAAGCTAAGACAGAGGGCGTCTGGGTCTATCCCCACTTCTGCTACGTATTGAAAACCAGGGTACGGATGTTCCAAGCCAAAGACAGCTGAAGCCAGATGTCCTGCGCGACGAGTTTGACTCCAATATTCTGAATTTTATACTAGGTGGGCAGCTTTGGAGACCCAAGTAGCAAGCATACCTTCCTGTAGTCAGGAAAACACATGCAGCATTTTCCTATTAGGTCTCCTACCGGGTGTATGGGTGACCGAGGAGAGGCAAAGTTTGTGGGTATCCTCTCCTATGGAGGAAATGTGGTAGAACCCTCACCTGAGGGAAAATACCCCAGGGCATCACTCAGGGACCTGAGGCCAAAGAGGCCTGGTCTTGATCTGTGGAGCTCTCTATGTGCCTTCCTGATCCCTAGCGGTGAGAAGGGGGGCTGCTCAAAGGCTGTCTGGTGACTGAAGCTGAAACGGACATTTTCTTTCTTATACTTTGATGTCAGCGATCCACACACGCACATCCGTGTGAGACCTCGAGCAAATGGCAAAGAAGGAGGGCTTGAAGTCTCCCTCCTCCCTCAGAAGGCAACCGTCACAAACTGATCATAAGCAGAGCCATGGGCAGAAGAAGAAAGAGCTAGAAGTCTCCAACGAGGAAAAGGAATTGTACTTTCTCCCAGCTAGACCCCCAACTTTCCTGAATCTCCAGTCCAGCAGAGAGCAAGGGAATGAGTGTTGAACATGCCCTCAGCTTGTGCAGGCATGTCCCCTGTATACACACAGCTACAAGAATTTGAACTGGACCTGGGTAGGAAGGAATCCAGAGTCTTGCAGAGGACACTGGCTCTCAGTCCCTCAGAAAGTTGGAGTCTACGATTTAGAGTTAGTGGTTCTGAACTACAATACATCACACTCCAAGGCCCCTTCTCTGCTTTTTCTTTCCCTCACTCCCTAGACACCTCACAGCCAGAAAGCTTCAGGAAGTGCCAAAGAGGGGCATGTTTTAATCAGTGGTCACCCCCCCACGTGATGGAAGGATCAGATCACCTGGATAGAGATTGCTATCTTCTATCAGGTGGAGACTTCTGTCCTGATCGAGTGTTGGGGCTGGTTTTTGTTGCTAAGTAGTGTAAATCCCAGCACGTGTGTATCTGTGCCTGGAATAGTGATAGTGACTCTAACGTCCTGTTCTGCTGAGGGGGAGGGGGATGAATTGGGCCAGAGAGTCCATTTTCTGCCTGGGAGTCCATCTAGTATTCCAAGAATGCTCATGTTTCAAAGGAAGCCAGTAAGTTTTACTAAAAGTTTGTCATAGAGTTGGGCAATTGGATAGAGCAGATATCTGTTTATGATGTATATGAATTAAAAAAAAAAAAAACCAAGGCATATTTGAGAGGTCTGTGAACTGCTATGTTAGTGAAACAAGTTTGCATAAGAAAAGTTCAAATAGTCAAAACCAAATTGTCCCATTTAGCTTAGTTTCCTCCATCTTTTTGCAATTGGAAAACAGGTGGAGTTAATATTCCATCACAGACAAGCTCTGTGCCTAAGGTGGATATTCATGGACACCTGCTTATCCCTGCCCAGGTCGAGGTACTCCGGAGGAAGACAAAAGCCCTCTCAATTTGAGATACTTCTGTTTTCCAACCCCAAGTATGCCCTTTACCTTAAGAGAAAGAAAATTATCTTTTCAAAGGAAAAGAAAAAAAAAAAAAAAAGAAAATTCTCAATTAAAAAAACTGAGTTTCTTTTTCTGACATTATTTTTCCTATCATAGAATATACTGTTTATCTTAAGAGTAACCCTTAGAATCTCAGTTGGAAGCCAGCAGCGTTCTGTAACATTCAGCTGCCCTGCTCACCTCGCACTCCTATACTTGGGGCATTCACATGTAAGACCTTCCTTAGGATCTGACCAGGGCCCTGATGAGGGAGTCTTGAGAAATGCATCCATACCTTTATATAAGTAAACACACACACACACACACACACACACACGCACGCATGTGCACACACGCACACACTCACACACAGTGAACAAGAGACACACACACAAAATGCTACTCACATGAACCATCAGATATCATACCCCGATAGGATTACACACACACACACACACACACACACACACACACACGAGAGTCAAAGGCCTGACAGATGGGATGGGCGGGAAACGGTTAGTAAGTGAGGAGGAGTCTGGTAGGAAAAGAGGTTGAGAACAGGGAGCTTCAGCACTTGGGGGAGGAAGGCTTCTGAGTGTTTGGCAAAGTTCCCAAAGCAGACCTCTTCTGCAGGGGCTGAGCGCCCATTCTTCGTGACTGACCATGGCTGCACCAGCTCAAGATTCTCTTGTTGGCTCCCCAGGGTCACCTGACAACAGCAGGGTCCCCGAGGTCCCCACGAGCTGCTCCTGCCGCGTGGCACTCACAGCTCTGGCTGACTTCTTCATTCACTAGCACCCAGTGCCGATTTGCTCGGGTGAGCCTGACATGCCTGGGTGGCCTTGCCCCACCTCAGTCTGGGCGCTAGCCACTAAGATGGACAGCTATTTTGGGATTCATGGCCTTGAAGATTAAGAGGGAGGGGATGAGAGCAGAAGGGGTTGAGAGTTCTCCGTTAGTTTACATCATATCATACAAACGCGAGCCCATGGGACAGGGAGATGCTCTCTCTGCGCGTGACCCATTTCCTGTCATCTGTACAGGGCTCACCCCTAGAAGGAGCAGGTGTCCAGGGATGAAGGTCTTGTTTGGTATGTGTACTTGTACATCAGCAGCCAGAGGCAATGTTCCTTCTCTTCCCTCAACTGTATGCTCCCCCTTTTCTGTTAGGACTTTTGTGCCCGGCTGTGTCTTCAGCTTCCAAAATGAGTGGACTAAACCTTTCGGCGTTGCAGAACCACACTGTGAAGAGCCACAGGGTTCTCTGTCTGGCCCAGTGGTTTGGTTCTTGGTTTTTGCCCTCTGGGAATTTCAGCCGTACCAGAAATAATAGAAGAAATGCAACACAGACAATAAAACCCCACACTCAGGAAATACCCACCACAGGGGCATGCACATACACATGTGTACACGCGTGTGCGACACACACACACACACACACACTTCAGTCTCTCTCCAGGGATCTGCAGCTGCTACATTGACACCCAGGAAGGCCCGCCCGCCCTTCAAGGCAATTCCCAGACCTTGGGGCCTCCATAATGGGTCAAAAACAATAACAGTGAGAGATAAAGAGAGAACAGAGTAAGATGATATTTCCATTCAAAGAGTAGGAAAGAAAAAGATAACCAACCAATAGCTATGCACACGTGCACACACGCTCACACACTCACACACACACACACACACACACACACACAGGTCACAGCATTGCTCAAAGGTGCCATCTGCCCAGAGAGCGCAGGCAGGGGAGGACAGGGTGGCCTCTTGTTTAACAGGGGTGTAAGGCAGCTGGAAGGTAAGACTGGGTTTTCTGAGCATCCACGGAAATGTCCCTTTGTTGATGCTGATCTTGCCTCTCAGCATGTTCTCTCCCCTCCCCCGCCTCTAAGCCATTGTCCAAAGGTTTGGCCACAAGGAGAAAACTTCCTTTCTCAGTCTGTTTTCTCTTCCACTCCTGGTGCTGCTGGTGGGCTGGGAAGGAGCTCGGAACAGGAAGAGCAGAGATGAGGTCCTGAAAATGGCCTCAAAGACGTGGTTACGTTCTACGAACTCAAGGGACCGGGTTTCCCGGTGATATGATGGCTAGGGTGGTGGTGGTGGCCTTTCCTGCTGGCCCAGAGTGTAGCACGTCCTTCTCTGTGTCTGCCTTGCTTCAGACCACTGCCTCTGTCCCTTCCAGTTCACCGCCACATCGTTATGAGTGACTGACAGGGGTCAGGATGCTACCGCAGGTGGTGGCTTCCACTCCGTCTTGAGGAGACCATGACGCCAAAGTCAAGAAATAATGAGAGAGCCATAGGATGGGAACACTTCTCCCATCTTGGAGATGAGGTAACACAAAGTCTGATTAGATGCAGGTGCCTGGGCCAACTCAACTCTACCTTGGCACTGGCATCATCTTGATTGAGTTTCATTTTATATATGTATATTATATATATATTTATATATATATATATATGTATGGGTTTGTTTGTTTGTTTGTTTTTAGCACACTGTCCCATTCTCTGGTCTGGATTTAGGGCAGTTGGTCCTCGGGACAGGTTGGACAGAGGGGGCCAAGGTACAGAAGAATCCCGAGATTAGTGTGAGACCCAGGCCCCCCCACGCACAGAACATGGACCATCCATAGCCGTGGCTGATGTCATCCGGGAGTCCATATAGGTAGCGTGGGTAACGTGATAGCTCAAAGTTGATCCCAGCCACACAGGTGCACAGTGAAATGATGCAGAAGGTTCCTGGAGAACAAGGGAGGAAACACCGGGCAGGGAAATGGAGAAGGAAAAGGAAGAAGGGAAGAAGAGAGAAGAGAAGTTAGGATTGTTATAGTTACACCTGTTTAAGTGGGAGAGACGGGAAGATTCAGGGAACAGTGGGCTGTCACCATGGTCACCACCAAGAGCTCGTGGGAGGAGGACACTCCTAATGGCCCATTGCTTCTGCTCACTCCAATCATCTTGGACAATCTCGGGAAGTCTCTTCTTCAATACAATACACCAATTGAGTATCGCATTGGAGATTTATATAGGGTGGGATGACCACGGGATATTTAATTCTTTTTTTTTTTATTAAGTATTTAAAATATGCTTCTTTCATTGGCAAAAACAAATCATCCCATTTGGTGTAGCAATAAAATCATCTCTTTTTCTTTCACACACGTGTGTGTATACATACATATATACATATATATATATATCATCTTATACAAATTTAAAAACTCTTACTTTAATAAAGTCACCATCAAAAGGGAAAAAACCCTTCTCGGTTGCATTACTCTTGAAAATCTTTCCCGTTTTCTACAAGGCAACCTTTCTGGAAAATGTCCCGTGGAAAGCTAGCTCTCTAGGGTAACCCTTACATTATGGGTGGTGGTGAAGTCCAGGAGCCACACATGTGCCTTCTCGGCCTCCTTATCCACGTGGGCATCACTTAACTCACCCATCATGCTTCAGTGTGAAATTTAGCAAACCTTTTTGATATTAGGATTCTCTTTAAAACATATTCTTTACCATTTTCACATGCAAGCATGCACAGAACATATGCTATGTATTCCCCAAATCAACCTCCAACTGGATGATCATCAGAAGAGGTGAGATGGGATAAAATGTTGTAGAATCACAAACTCTCTTAACCAGTGCCAATGTTTGGCATAGCTAGAGTAAATTCGACCACTTTTTCAGCGTCCTCTTTTGTGTATGCTTTTTGTGACCCAAAGAAGCAGGTGCATCTGGGTCAATGGGAAGGAGCGGGCGACGTAAGCTTTCTCACAGGGAAGGAGAGGAGAGGCAGTATGCTATGTTTTCTATCCACTATGAGACATTTCCTTGCTAACTGCTGGGTTTCTTTACGAGCACATCTTATGTCTCCCCGAAGGTTCCTGGAGACCAAGGGAAGAAGTCCACAGCAGGGCAATAGTTCATAAGTTGGTGACCATTTAAATGGCCGTAACAGCTGCAGACATACTTAACAATTAAGAAGTGCTGTGTGGCCAATCAAAGTGCAGAGAATGGGTGCAGGCAGAGTGCTCCACCGCAAATGACACATTTATACCGTCACGTTGTGGGAGATGGGTGGGAAGATTCTAAGAGTCAGAAGTGGTTATGAGGAGAAGGGGGGGGAGTATAATCAAAATACATTATATGAAATTGTCAAAGAATTACCAAAAATATTATATTTTTAAAAAGTGCCATGTGCCGGAAGCTAAGTCGTGTGCTTGGCCTTTAATTCTTAACACGGATTGCATTTTTATCTGCATGTAACTGGAAAGAGTACTGAGGTTAAGTCATTTGCCCAACATCACAGAGCAGGTAGATGGGAAGCCACGGTGCAATCTCAGGCAGCCAGGTTGCAGCTTATAGTCCTATTTCTTTTGTACGGGAGGTTGCTGGATATTAACTTAGGGCTTTGTGCACACAAGGGGAGTACTCTACCACTGAGCTATAGTCAAACTATTTTATTTATTTTTAATTTTAGATTTGCTAAGTTTCCAAGGCTGGACCCGAACTCATTTTGTAGCTCAGTCCGGCCGGCCTTAATTCTGTGATCCTCCTACCTAAGCCTCCTGCGTAGCTAGGACTACATGTGTGTGCCATTGTTTCCGGCTAGATTGTTTTAGTAAAGACTGGCATCAGGGCCCAGCTCTCTCCTATCCATCGCCAATTGTCTGCAAAGTTCCAGCTGCATTCTGCATTCTACAATGTGATTGCATGACACTGACAGAATGTTAGGAATAGAGTGACACTGAAGGAGGAAAAAGTGTAGCCGGCCAAAACTCAGATCACGGAAGAGTATGAAAGGGCAGTGAAGATACAATGTGTTCAATGTTATTCATAACCCAGTAATTAAAACCCCAAAGCAGAGGGGCTGGAGAGATGGCTCAGTACTTAAGAGCACTTGCTGCTCACCCAGGGGACCGAGTTTGATTCCTAGCACCTGTATGGCAACTCACAACTGCGTGTAATTTCACTTCCAGGGGATCCCAGTCCTCTGGTCTCCTGCCTCCTAGAGCACAGCGCTCGTGTGCATATACAGCTACCCGCCCAACACACACACGCAACACACACAAATATAAAATAAAAAATAATGTCGACCTTTACAAAAACAAAAGAAAAAGGAGATTAAAGCACAGTGACAACATCTATCAAAATGGCAAAGTTTTGGATTTTTGGGTTCTCTCTCTCTCTCCCTCCATGTGCGTGCGTGCGTGTGTGTGTGTGTGTGTGCGTGTGTGTGTGTGTGTGTGTGTGCATGTGTGTGTGTGTGCGTGTGTGTGTGTTGAACACATGTTTGCGGGTGTGTGTGGAGGACAGACGTCAACCTTGGGTGTCAGTCCTCAGGGGCTGGCCACCTTTCTTTCATGTGGGATCTTCCACTGACCTGGGGTGTGCTCTGCATGCAAGGTGAGCCACAGGCAACTCTGTGCACATCCTCGGCGCTGCTACTACAAGCGTGTGCACCTTGCCTGGCTTTCCACCTGGGCTCTGGGGTGGAATGCGGGTCCTTGCGCCATTGTGGTAAGCCTTTTGCTGCCCAAGCTACCCCCCCCCCATCACTCTCTGTCTTGTGGTTTTGTTTTGTTGGTTGTTTTTAATCCTCTCCAAAGCTACATTCATACTTTTGATCTGCTGATTTCTCACATGGGGATGAAGGCCAAAATCGGAAGTTGTGTATGTGGCGAGGAGGGGCCCACATGAGCTCAAATACTGTGCTAATGCAGTCTCTGAGTCGAGAAGCTTGCCCCTTCCCAGAGGCACCGTACTGACGCCAATCTGTGCTCCCAAGGGCCACTGAGAAGTACAGGGACTATTGGGCATAAGGAGGCAGCGGGGGTAAGTGCAAATCTGATCTGCCCTGGACACTGGGAATCATAGATCTAGACCAGGGTAGAAGAGTTCTGAGATGGAGAGGTGAACTAAACTTATAAACTGAAGCTCTGGCCATGTCAGGGATCGCATAGGACTTTAGGTAAACTTTAGGAAACAGAGTTATCCCTTCTCAACAGCTTCATCATGCCATCCACTAAAGAAAAGTATGGATTTTTGCTGGGAGAGGAGATCCACACAGGGGCAGAAGGCTGCTGGGGCACACAGGGAGGCCTCAGAAATGAGTCCGCATTCAGCTCAATCGATAGGAAAGATGAAATGTCAGAACTCAGCCTCTGAGGCGGTGCTTGCAGACTCGGTCATGCTGCCCCCTGTGAGCACTTAGCGAGAGGCAAGTGGGAAGTCAAGTAAGGCCACTGGGATGTCATGGTTATCCAGTGTTAGCTGTGGTTAGAGTCCAACAGTTGGGCGACAAGATCCCTACCCTCAAGTCATCCTTCCCTTTGACCTGCAGCCTGCGTGGCACTGCTAATACCTAGCACTTGCAAGTGTAGGCAGCTGCAGAGAGCGATGGGTAGAAGTGGTTGGTGGGCAGCATCAGGTCTGGACAAAGGAGTGAGGCTTTGCCAGGATGGGTGGGTGGAGCGGGGGTAATTCTTTGACGATGGGCTTGGGAGAGCCAAAACAGCCAAGTAACAACATACGTGTGACCTTTTGTTCAAACCAACCTTTGTGCTAGATGTTGGTGAGAGAGAAGGGGGAATAAGATAGGACCCCTGCTCTGAAGAATCTTTAATTAAAACTAAAATAAAAAAAAAGGGGGAAAAAAGCAACATATGATATTGTAGGGAATATAAGCCGCACATAAATGAAAAGTTGAGAATAAAACAAAACTAACACCAGACGGGGATTAAGAGACATGGGTTTATCATCAGCTCCCTCCCAGCCTCTGGTTCCTTCATCTGAGAAGTCAGAGGGCAGAGGCAGAGACTTAAGTTCCCTCCCTGGTGTAGCAGTGTCTAGTGTATAGTGTATAGACACCCAGAGGTTAGCAACTTCAATGCAGGCTAGATAGTGCTAGATGAAGAGAGCTCCAATGGGAAGCAGGGGACAAGCCTGGCCAGGTCTACTGTTCCCAGGGCTCCGTGCCTGATAAGGAGTGACATGCTAGACACCTGCCATACCTCAGTTGCAAGGTGTTCACCGCTACAACCCAAGCCTAGTTTCCATGTTACATCAACTACCCCAATAGACCACTGGCGCTTTGACTTCTACATTTGCTCCATGGAAGAGCCAATGGAAATGTTAAACTCCTGCCAAATTATTGTTCTGTCCGGTTACAAAACCTCCAATAGCTTGTAGCACTTCGATCTAAACGTCTCACTTTCTCTGTAAGGGGACTCCTAAGTGGATTCTGTTCACTTATCAGAGCAAATGTCTTACCTTGACCACACAGCCCTATGCAGTAGCCACGCTAGTGCTCCGTGATAGGAAATTAGATAAGCATGCTCTACAACCCACCCTTTACATTCACTCTCTTGTCCAAAATGGCCTTGAGCTCCCTGCTTTCAACTCAAATGCCATCCTCAGAAAAAAAATCTTCCCTGGCTTCTTGGAGAGTAGCACCTGCCCCCAGTGGTTTTAAAACAGTCTCATGTGGAGATGTTTCTAGAACCACGACCAGGGATGAGGGGGAGAAGCAAGAGAGACTCCCAGCTCTCTCTCCTCTACTTGAGCAAAACAGCTCTACTTCGGTCTGTTTCCAGGAGAAATTTCACTGGCGAAAGCATCCTATGACTTACACCATTTGGAGACCACTAACATATCTTAGGTATGCCCCTGCATGGATCATCCTTTGGATAGCAAACTCCAGTGGCTGCTCCATTAATGACAAGCCCATACCTTTAGCAGAAATG